GGATTTTTTTTAATTGGGGGGGAGGGGGTTTGCTTAACAACTCTCGGGGTCTTTTTTTTTTTTGGTATTTTTTCAGAAACCATCTGGCAACCCTAGCCAGGGAGGAGGTACTGGGAGTGCTGGGGCATTGTGGGAAGTGCTGGCTGTTTAGCCTTGTGGGCAGAGCCTGAGAGGTGCTGATTGGCTCACACTGGCCACGTTTGGGTCTGGCACTACAGCTTAAAGCTTAATCTTTGTATTCAAGCCCATCAGTGTGAAATAAGCTATTTACATATAGATTTGCATGTATATGCAGCCACACTTAAGTTGTGGCCCTTGGCATGTGCTGTGGGTATCATTGTGGCCCCTGGGACTTCTAAAGTTGAGTAGCCCTGGTGTAGACACTGCCAAATTTCAAAATAAATTATTTTGAAATTGACTCTAAATAAGCTACGCAATTTGCATAGCTCAAATTGTGTAGCTTATTTCAATTAAAGTTTAGGCTGGCTGTGTATATAAATGGCAATAAATGCTATGTGTGTATTTTCAAAGAACACTTGTAACATCTTGAAAATGGTTCTTTACCTCGCAGAAATAATTGCCTAAGTTCTGGTGCTATTTCAAACGGAATAAGCAAGCTAAACAGTGATGCTTTTATATCTTACAAGCTGTGCCCCAGCTCATGGCTGCAGTGCAGAAGTCTGAAGGGCAACAGAGATAGGAGGATGCAGCAGTGAGATGGGGCAGTTGAGTGGACGACACAGAGGCACAAGCACAGGGCAGAGCAAGGCGCAGGAACACTGGGGGGGGGGAGGGGGAGGGCACTGGCTCAGAGGGCCAAGGGAGGGACAGGTGGAGCCCAGCAGTTAGGGACTTACTGCCAGCCCCACTGCTCACAGCATCTCCTGCTTCTCCTTGTTCCCGGGCCCGATGTGCTGCTCAGAGAAGTTATTGTGCTGTGGCAGCAGCTGCTTGATGGACTGTGAGGCGCTGCCCCACACTGTGCTCTGCTGCCCCCACCGCTCCCACCTGCTGGACAGGCCACCAGGAGCAGCATGGAGCCCTGGCCTGCCAGCTGCCTGCACCAGCCGGCACAGATCTTCATGGTAGCACCGCCACCACCAGCTGCCCACTGCACCTGCTGGCCGCTTGCTGGGAAGGCGCCGAGCCCGTCCCTAGGTGAGGTGCCCCGGCTGAGCTCACCACTTCCCACTCATTCTGGCATTTTCTAGAAACGTCTTAAGTCTTCTCAAATGTTCTCCGTGACAGACGGCATGACGAATACCTCTCCTTTTATAATAGTATAGATTCAGATCATGTGAGTCAGGCTTTCTTGACCTAATAGGCAGCATGCTCGATGTAATTCTTCAAAAAGTTTATGCAAACATGTCCTTCACCTCCCTAAATACAAAAGCTAGACTATAAGTACTGAAAATACTACTTCAATAATTTAACTACATTCAAAAATGTCCCTACTCATAAGTATCAGATTAGGCAAGAATGTGAAAAGGTTTAGTAATGTTTCTGGGTTTTGCTGGAGTATCTCAGAATCTCGCAACTGTGCCTATGTTCTCTTTATTAATTGAAAATCAAATATCACAAGTGTTGCACCTCAAGTTGTATGTTAATTTTAATTTAGTTGAAAACTCATTTCTACGTTGATTGTATAAACAGACAAGGTAAGACAAAGAGTGGGAGAAAGGGATAAATATTACAAGCAAAAGATTAGAAACTAAGGCAGAGATTTAGTAAAAATCACTTCCAAGAATATTCAATGAATATCCAGTGCAAGGCTAATGCTCTAGCTCTGACAAGCACTGCTCATCAATAGTTAACATCAGGCATAAGTACTCTTAAAACCACATGAACCTGGCATTTTTCTAGAAGTAGGTTTGCCTGGGAATTATGTCACTTTGGGATATACAGGATTAAGTAGAAAATGTACTGCTACCTTTACCACAACACGGTATACTTGCTCATGTATAATGGTATTTTCTGAGAGTGCAGCTGTTCTTTTAATTTGCTGAATAAAGACCTGTTTAGGGGAAGTTTAAGGTTATGAATTCAAATCCCAAGATCCAAGATGCAATGGTGTCTACAGCCATGCATCATTACAACAGCACAAGTCAGTTATCCTTTGTGATACGCCAGCACCCTATGAAATAATTTTATGAATACTTAGGAGGATATTGCAAAAGGGTGACACTAACAACAACAGTACAGAATGAGTAAGAATAGCACAATAACCAGCTTTTCCACGCGCTTCCACGTGCCTCTGCATTTATAGATACCTGAACTTTTCTAAGCCTATTTGGTCTCTCCTGAAAACAGTATAACAATTAACCTTTACTTATCACAAAGAATGAAAAACAACTGAAGATACTCCAAGGCTACATGTCTCTTTTGATCTATCTGCTGATGCCTGCAGTGATATGCATTATGTGAAAGTGAAGATGGCTAGCACAGAGGTCCCTTATTACAATGTGATTCTATCAGTCCTGATTTGTCTAAGCAGAAACATTCAGGTTGTCATCTAAACTAACATGTGACACATCACAATGATAATATTAGTATAAGATGTTGCTATTAATTCCATACTAGTTCTCTTTTACCCGTGGTATGTTGTGAAATAGAAAAAGTTTTCCTGGAGAATAATTCAGATCACAAGCCTTTTATAGATTGTTGTCCACTTTTGCCACCCAAAAGTGGTTTGTCCCAAATTCTTCATTTAGCTTGGATTCATCTAACAGTGTAAAGATCCAGGGGACTGGAATGCAGGTGAGTAGATGACCCCCATGTCCATACTGTCATCCACAGCACACCCATAATCCTTGCTCTAGACATGTGATGGAACTAAACACCGTGGCTACGTCTACACTGGCATGATTTTCCGTAAATGCTTTTAACGGAAGAGTTTCCGCAAAAGCACTTTTTGCGGAAAAGCGTCCGTGCCAATCTAGACGCGCTTTTGCGCAAAAAAGCCCCAATCGCCATTTTAGCCATCGGGGCTTTTTTGCGCAAAACAGTACTGTGATATCTACATTGGCCCTCTTGCGCAAATGACTTGCGCAAGAGGGCTTTTGCCTGAACAGGAGCAGCACAGTATTTCCGCAAGAACACTGATGATCTTGCATGAGATCGTCAGTGTTCTTGCGGAAATTCAAGCGGCCAGTATAGACAGCTGGCAAGTTTTTCCGCAAAAGCAGATGATTTTGCGGGAAAACTTGCCAGTCTAGACACAGCCCATGTGAAATGCTGTCATGGGAAATGTGATTGGCTGCACTGCCTAGGATTGTTCCAGGTGCATTATTTAAGCATGGAGGGAGTTAGAGTCAACTGTCTATGCAAGCTGACAGTAGCTAATCTGTTGCTACAACAGACCCTGCTCTTGTTCTCTGACTTTGATCCCTGGCTAGACTCCTGTTTCCTGACTCTGTCTCTGATCCTTGGCTTGACTCCTGTTCTGACCCCTAAGCAAAAATGCTGGTCAGACTTCCCATATCCTTATTTCCCTTCACTGAAATCTGTTGGTAACTTGAGGGCTGTGATCTTTCACAGGAAAAATCCTGTGAAATTTTGTTGTTGTTTTTTTTGCTTGCTTCTTTTGACTACACAGCCAATAAAAACCTCTTTTGGTGAGCGGTAAATGTAATAAGATAAGATCTTCATTGCAATACTTAGTTCATGTGAGTGTGCCTAAGCACAAAGCATCAGCCTTAGCTCCCCATATCTTGACTCTTTTGGAGAGTTTGTTCTGTTTTTAATGCCATAATCTTTGTGTTTGAATTTTCTTCTCTTTAAAAAAAATCCATGGAAGCTTGAGAGCTGAGTTTTCCTTGGAACAAAAAGTCAGTAGAGCGATTAATTGAAGTAGACATAGGATATGGTGACATTAAATAATGGTTCCTCACATGCTTGTGGGAAATGTAATAAATATGGATTAAATTAAATTGTTATATCAGGGGTATGGACACAGAGCTAGCTTTAAAAAAAAAGGGATTTAGAGCTAAATACTGTTTGGTTTAATAGTTCCAGTAAAGTCAAATGCCTTGTCCCACAGACCACATAATGCCACACAGTGCCAGATTCAATATTTAGGATGTAATGGAAAGTACCCCAACTGTGCAGAAGCTAGGAGGCTAGGAGGATTGCAAGTATCCTGTAGAACAGGAGTAAGATATAGTGCACTCTTGATAAATTGCAGAAATGGGCTGCAGAGAATAAAGTGAAATTCAATGAAGACACCATACTTCATCAAAAAATAATAAAATAAAATGTACAAAGATAGAATGGAAGAATGAGAGCCAGACAATAATACACAATGTATCTCTAAAGAAGAGGGTATAATAAAAGAGAATAACATTGATAATATAAATATATATATGTTTAATAATACCAGTTTAGATTATTAAAACAGAAATAGTGTCATATTTATTTTTACCATTTATGCTATTTACTTATTTTCTCCATTTCACAGAGCTTGAATAATAAAACCAAATGAATCTGTCTATAGTCCATTTCACTTCTTCACCAGCACAATTTGACTTTGCTTGGATTGCAAATGTTTGCAGGGGAATACTGCATTATTTAAAATTATCTTAATATAAATGTGTATTCAAAATTAATAAAAACATTTACATTAAATGTGACCAGCAAAGGAAAAGTATGGCTTTGGACCACTTTTTGCTGCTTTTTCCAGGAAAGCCCCCCACTCCCACCCCTAACTCCCAGCGCCCACACACACACACACTTGTATTTACAAGACAAAATTAGGTCTTGTCTACTTTTTTGTGGAGACTCTATGGATGACTGGAGAGTTAGTGGACCTAGGAAATCACAAATACCAAAGAAGTGAAACAATCTGGAGTCTTTAGGTAGGATTCATAAGTCTTTGTTTTGTTAATTATTTAACTCAAACCTATTATGTACAATGGCAACAAAAGCCTTTTGAGTAAACATTTGATATTCTTTCCCTTTCAGTTGAAGGCTAAGAATCCTTACCATCCACTTCTTTTTTCCAGTTGTGATCTGCAGTGAAAACTCTGACGGGAGGACTTGCTATTCTTGACAAATAACCTAAGGTAAAAAGCAAGGTGGAGGAGGAAGGGGAAACGGGAAAGATGACAACAAAGCCACCTAAAACCCAACTGTAACAATAATTAATTTAGCCCTACTATATATATCCTTTAAAAGTCAGAGGCATTGGGCCTAAATTTCCCCCCTTTCCTAGTTGCCTTTTAATATTAAAAAATAGACAAGTTGAAATTTTCTTCTAAAGAGTTTTTCACGCAGAGGCTGTGTCTATACTACAGAGTTTTTCTGGGATACCAGAGGCATCCTGGAAAAACTCTGCCGCATTCAGGGAACGCGTCTACTTTTTCGGATCAGTTTCCTTTTTCTGAAAAATAACTGCAGTGTAGACATAGCTTGAAATTGTGTTGATTCAAAATTAACTGAAAAAAACATTCATTCACCCAAAAAAGTGCTTAAATTTCATCTATTTGAAAATGAGAAATTGAAAACATTTGTGTTTTTTGCTATCCCCCTTCCACCTGTTTTTGCATGAACAAATTGTGTGTGGGAGGAAACAATTTTGATTCATTTTTACTTAGGCCAGATCTACCCTGGCGGAGAAAATCGATGCAAGATACTTAACTCCAGGTACATGAACTGTGTAGCTGGAGTTGATTTACCTTGCACTGATTTTCTGGAGTGGCCCACAGCAGGAGGTCAGCAGGAGAAATCTCTTGTTGACTTCCCTTACTCCTCACAACAGTGAGGAGTAACAGCCACTGATAGGGGCACCCTCAGCGTTTGATTTAGCAGGTCTTTACCAGAATTGCTAAATCAAACTCCAGAGTATTGATCACCAGAATGTTGATCCTTCAGCAAGGGGAAATGTGGCCTTTATGAGACAAAAGTACAAGCATTAGCACTTAAAAAAACAACAACCTTTTTCACACTTTCCCAGTGGGGCAAAAGTATACAAATGAAAAAATTATTTCTCCGACTTTTTTTCCCCCCTTGTTTCCATTGGAAAAGCATGAAAAGTTTGGGTTTTTATACAGCTTACTTTCTTTTACAGAGTAAAAAAAAAACCACACACAGAGATTTTACTCAACTGAAAAAAATCACCAGAAATCATCTCTCGTGCATAAAATAAAAATGCTCACTGGTTTATATGGTGACACCTGTTACACGGAGAAATCTATTACTGTATTACTCTTAACAAAATCTCATTGTTGTCATGATTGTTTCGTCTCTACCATTTACATGGCAGGGATCTGAAAACCTGCTAAAATGTCCTAAATAGTTTTTTATTCTTACACACACATGCACACACACCAATTATTCCACTGAAATATGAACAGCAAAAAAAAAAAAAAAAATTACAGAAGAGAATATTTAAATATCTGAAAGAAAAGGGTGAAGTGAAAATATTTGGGTTTGGGGGTCTTAACAAGGAAATCAAAACAACACAAAACTAAAATTTCTCAAATCCAACTTTTTTGTAGAAAAACGTTGAATGAAAGCACTGCATTGAAAGAGCCCTTTCCCCCAGGAGAAAATCACTTTTTTCACTTAACTCCTCCCCCCCAATATTTTAGACTTAGCTCAACCTGAATTTGACATTGTCTGATTAACTATGGGTATGTCTATACTGCAAAGTTTATTCGAAATAACAGTCGTTATTTCGAATTAACTTTAAAATTAATTTTAAAATTAATTCAAAATAGCGGAGCGCTTAATTTGAATTTGATAAACCTCGTTCTACAAGGAGCAACGCCAAATTTGAATAGCTATTTCGAATTAAGTGCTGTGTAGACACTTAATTTGAAATAGGAGGCTTCCAGTCCTTCCCAGGGAGCCCTGGTGGCCACTCTGGGCACAACCAGGAAAACTTACTCTCCTTTCCCCCAGCCCTGGAGCCATTAAAGGGGTAGACCCTGGCCACAGTGCCTGTGCCAGGACTCTGACCATAGTGCCTGTGCCAGCTCCAAGCCTTCCAGCCCAGAGCCAGCAGTCACTGCCCCTGACCCAGTGGCCCCAAAACATGAGCCAGCAAGCCACTGGCAGCCAGACCTCCACAGCTCCCCAGGAGCAGTCTGCCAGCTCCCAGGAGCCTGACAGGCGCTGGAGAAGGCGGGTGCCTTCCTGGTCTAGGGTGGAGATCATGGACCTTATTCAGGTTTGGGGGGGATGCTCCAAACATCCATGATCTCCACACTAGACAGAGGAATGAGGCTGCCTATGGCAGGATAGCTGCTAGCCTGGCCACCAAAGGCCACACGTGAACCCAGGAGCAGGTTTGCATGAAAATCAAGTTGGTCCAGCGAGACCCCCAACCCTGAGCCCTGAGCTTCCCCTCTCCCTTCTTCCCCTTGCTTCCCCCTTCCAGCTCCATCCTCCCAGGTTTCCCCCTCCCCTCTCCCACCCTCTCTCTTCCCCTATCGCACCTCCTTTTCCCAGGCTCCCCAGAGGTTCATCTCCCCCCCCAGTTTTGTTCAATAAACCCAGTTTCTATTTTTGAACATATGTGTCTTTTGTTTGACAGGAGGAGTAACGGTAGTTCAAATTAGGATCTTTAATTCGAACTACCTACTCCATGCCGCGTGTAGCTGCGGGCACGGAGTTCAGACTAAGGGGGATTTAAAAATGGCGACGCCCAGGAACATGCAAATGAAGCCAGGGATATTTAAATCCTGGGCTTCATTTGAAACTCCGCTTGCCCTAATTACCCTACCTAGCTCGAACTAACAAGCTAGTGTAGACATACCCTAAAAGAGCCTGAAACCTGCTCATTGGAGACACTCTTTGAAGAATGTATGTGCTAAGTTCTAGCAAGTATCCACTGATCATGTGTGATTTAATTTTTTCAGAAGCTTATAACTTGGCTAAATCTGGGCTGACTTTCACAGGAATGATAAAAGATATGCTCTTGAGATCAAAGTCACCCCTCTGCCAAAATTAAAATGCCTGTTCCAAAAAAAAGAGGGGGGGATACTAAGTCATGTCAAAGAAAGAATCGTAAGGGGTTTTTTTAATTTAAATTTATGATACAATGTATTTTTTCCTTAGCCTTATTTCTCAGAAATGGCTGAACTATTTTGGCTGAAAATCTCCAAAACATTCAACCTGAGGCAGATACCCACCATGGACAATTCAATCCAAATGGTTGAAATTATGGCAAAATTATAAGCAAAAGTCTTTTAATGGAAAATTGTGGATAATCCTAATAATAGACAGTACTACCAGCTCTTCCTATAACATAATCTGTCATAATTCTTTTTTCTGACTTCATACAAAGATCTAAGGCAGGATTCATTCCTATTACAAAGAAACATTATAAAATGAAATCACAGTAAATAGCTAAGAAAAACTGTAAGTTAGCTATCAGGAATGGTTTCTTACAGAGAATAATCAACATTTAGAACCAAGCCACTAAACAAAATAGTTAAGATGGATAAAATAATTTAAGGATATAATAAAAAAAATTAAGGATATGAAAATTGTGCAATATTTAGATATTCTTGCTGAGAGGCAGAATACATCTACTTTGATACAGGGGATTGATCACATGACTTACTAATGATTTCAGCCATAATATTTCTGTTTGTGTATTTGAAAAAACTAGAGAACGGAGCACTTCCTGACTCTTTGGATTATGTCTTTACATAGGTGCTGATTTATCATGAAAAATTAGGAGGTGCCTGAACATTAGAGGAGTATGGTATATTAGTTCAGGGTTGTCAAAGCAGTGGGCTTTCATAATTTGTGAAAGTGATTCATAAAATGAATCAAGGTCCATACATTTAATTTAGAATTTTCTGGGAGCAAGGACTGCTTCTATATTTTTTTTTTCTACAGCACCTAGTAAAAAGGGTCCTTCATCCTTGTTTGTGGTTCTTAGGCACTACTATACTAAAAATAATAAATACTTCTGTCTTCCTTTCTCTTTTACCAATCAAATACCACAATGTGAGCCAGATCATTACCTACCATAAATCAACATAGCTCCATTGTCTTCAATAGAGCTATGGTAATTCACAACCTCTGAGAATCTGATTCTGTATTTCCATATAGGAATGAATTGGATTTTATAAGAGCTATAACTTTTGTAATCTAGCAGCTGCATAGAAGTTTATGTAAAAAATGAAGACTTTGTAACAGAACATCTGAGGAAGAAGAGAATTAGATCACTATGTAGATAAATTATAAGAAGCCTTGCTGTCAGTGAACTATTCAGCAAACGTACATGTTTTCTGTGGCATGACTGGCATTGACTTCCTGTGATTGAAGGATAGTTGTAAAAGATTGAACCTAATTATGAAAATACTAATAATGTCGCTCCTTTAAATATCAGTCCTATTTAGAAAGGGAGAGGGTGAATGAGGTGGGGTCATCTTCCTTTCATGTGAGTAAAATTGTTTTCCAATCTTACAATTTTAAGTTAAAAGTAATTAATCTGAATGTCACTACACATTGATAGAAACTTTATGCAATTGTATGGGCCCAATCCTCTATTAAGTTATCCCTTCTGTAGTCATTTGCACCTGTGCAAAGAGTATATAATGCTTTCATTCCAATCTGATAACATTTTATACCTACTTTGAATTAGGGATGTAATAGTATAGTCGATTAACTGATAAGCAAAAGCTTATAGATTAATGCTATAGACTACACACATTTCCCCCCACCCCTTGCCAGTAAATTTTTTAGCAGGCTGGTCAATAGTCTGGCTTAGTCCCGACTTGCACAGGGTCCTGGACCTACCTGCACTGTGTCTCTGCATTTAAAGTGTTATTAGGAGAAAGAAAAGCAGGCAGCCCAGCTCAGTTATGGCTCGGTGCCGGGTCCAAGAGCTCAGACCCCTCACCCCACCTGGACAGGGGCTGCCTGGGGACTATCGAATAATCGACTAATCGATAAGAATTCAGGAGGTTAATCGACTATTCAGTTAATTGATATTTAACATCCCTATTTTGTATACTTAGCAGTGACTACTCAAGGCACAGACTAGTAGGGAATCAGGGCGTAGTGTTCCCGTTTTATTACATTATTCATTAGTTTGTGCATATAC